TCATAAGAGATGGCCTGAGCTGCAGGTTATCTTCTCTCCATCAATGTGTGAGGAACTGTCCACAGAGCACCAAGTTTCTCAGATCCTCCTGCATGGTGGGGAGAGCTGATTCAGTGAATGGACCCTTACCCAATAAACAGGCCAAGGCTATGGGCCATTTCTGAAATACCTCAATTTTTCTGAATGAGGAACTACTGCAGTAGCCTGTGGACATGGTGCAAGGTTGTTCTTGCCTGTTGCCGCTCACCTGGCATTTCTTATCCCGACCTATGAGAGGACATTGCTTATTTTTTTAGCAGGCAACAATCTGCACCAAAAAAATAATGTAAGGAAATGTTTGTGCTATCCAGGTACATCTCAAAGGCAAGTGGATCCAGAGAGAAATGTGGTTGCTCCTGACAGAAGCAAGAGTTTGTGTGGGCTGATAAGGCCTGCACAGCTTCATGAAAGAAAAAGAACCCCAATCCCAGGGGTCACCCCGGGAGGTGACGCCAGTGTGGAAGAGAACCTGGAGCTCTAAGACCTCTCTTGCCCCTCACTTAACAGCAGCTGAAACTAAGTTGCTGGTTCAGGTGTCGCAGGACAGCGTTTTCCAGATGCACCAGCTCCCACGCCCTCGCATTTCTCGCATTTCCCTGCCGTTCCGGTGTCTCCCTCTCCACGGCAGCAGCTGAGCCATGCGCGTCGGTGACCACAGGGTGTCACCCTCGGCCCTGAGTGGCACCCCCGCCGCCGGGACCGCGCGCGTCCTCCAGCTCTGGGCAGCTCTGATTCGGACATCTCCCCCTACCAAACACGGGCACTGCCCGTGAAGCAGCTCCAGAGGGTTCCCGCCCGGATCCGGGAGAGGCCTGACACAGGACAGGGCCGCGCTGGGGCAGCGGTACCGCGTACAAAGAGCAGAGACTGTGTGGGGGTGTTGGGTCCCTTCTCCAGCCCTTTGACCTCAGGGTAAAGGCCTTTTGGCACCTCACCACTAGGCTCTCCATGCTTTACCTGCCCTGCCGCCGCACGGAGGTCTTTTCTGTCTGCTGGCCAAATTGTCTCCGGTTCAAAACATACATGCGGTACATATCTGTATTTACTGGTTAAAGTTTCCTTTTTCAAATAGCAAGACTTTTTATTTTTTTTAATCTGCATTTTTTGGAATGTAGTTTTGGAAAAATTTCTGCAGAAACTTTCCACAGACAGTTCCAGCCAGCATGGAAAATTTTATCCTGATCTTTGATAGCAGAAACTGTAAATGTGTGGAGTGTCAGAAACCATCCTTACTATAAACCATCTTACTAGCTCTGCCAGGGGTAACTATAGCCACATGGTATCACAAACTTTTTGGAGAAGAAAGAAGCAACTCCTGCTTGACATGCTTAAGGCCCAGACTGCCCTCCGAAAGTAACTGCCTGTTAAGTATAGAGGGAGTCCAAGAAAAATACTCTCACTAGGAACTTTGCTTATCTTCCTAAGGCTTATGAAACGGTACGTGGCTTATGGTACACAGAGATAAATAATACAGACTAAGCCATATGAAATGACTGAATTTATGTATTTAAATGTTTCTGTGTGTATCATCAATACACTTCATCCAAGGGGCATATGAAAGCCCAGGCATGCTCACCATACCAAATATAATATAATGAGTGTTTTAAAGTTCATTGAGTTGACTGTTCTGCTAAGTAAATCTACTCGAGCTGGTGACAGTTACAACGCTCCCACCAGCAGAAAATTTAGATGATTACTTCCATTTTACAAATAGGTGAAATTAAATGACAAGTTCAGTTCTTAGTCAAAATAACACACAACACCCATGTTAGCTGGGATTTCAGGAGTCCTAGCCCTTTGCTTCTCCATCCAGACACTTTTCTCTAAAGGGAATATAGACCTTACGGTCAGGGAATTCAGTAAAACAAAACAACAAACAAACTAACTCAAAAAAACAGCTGACTGCCATAGACTCCTTCCCTTCAGGCATGACTGTTATACATCAAACCAGGGAGATTAAAAACATGGAAAATTTTTTGCCTTTTCTACACTAAAAAATTGAGGCAGCATGTATTGAATATTCATTGCTAGCAGTTGCAGACTTTTGCATTAAAGCTGCAGCTGCAAAATGAGCCTACGCACAGCAGAACACTTAAATTACAATCAGACATTGTTTTTTAAAAGTAACCCATTGGAATAATACCCTACATCTTGGCAAAGATGAAAGGCACCCAAGGTACACCTCTGAGTTTGAGTCGCTAAAGTTCCATACTTCTTCATTATTAATCAGTCTGGTGTTAGTTTTTTTCTTGAAAACGATAGCATTTTGTGTTTTGTAACCCTGGGGCTGCAGTCCTTTGCTTGCATATCTGCACGTAGCACCTTGCTAATGCCTGGGAAATGTAAGGCAAAGATAAAATGTATCGCAAAACTTCATTGCTTAGCCAGTGCAACTTCATTTTCTATAGGAGCAAATTAGCATTATATATTTTAACATTTCTAGCCTACAAGCCACCAATACAAAAGATGTTTCAGCCACATTATAGCAGTGGAAGACTTTGCAAGGCCTGTCAGCATACTAGTCAAGGAGTTACTGAATGCATGAATTTGGGATTGTTGGAGTTTGAGGAGGAGATGGCAGCATCTGTTTAATATACTAACATGATCTGAGAGAGGTTTCTTGGCTGCTATAAATTAGCATTTTCAGCTCTGAGTGTGGTCTCCCAAGCACAGTTTATACTTCAGTTTATACTGAAGCCACATAGTTGGCTTTTTTCTTACATCCAGTGGATAATAAAAGATGGAAAGTTACTGCATACTTTTATCTCAGACATATAATTAACAGAAATATCACCCCTCTGAGAGCTTTGCTTACACTGCTGTTATTGCAATGGCCAGTACAAAAGTTAACTGTCCAGGTTTTTCTCAGCAACCGCTCATTTTGATTTTCTGAATTGCTAAAACCATTGACTGCAGTAACCAGTGGATAATGGGAGCTGTAAATAAGGTACAGACACCTGGTCACTTGTAGAAGCAAGCCACCCATCACTATTAAGAAACTGAATGAGATCACCCCAGAATTATTATCTTAATTCTTGGCAGAAAGGCCCTCCTGTAGGCCACCCAGTAGTACTCAGTAATAAAAACCAGTATTTAACAGCTTAATTTGAGATGAATAGTCAGTTCAATCCCATCCAGGTAAGCATTTGATCAGTTGGTTAAATTTGCCTCCCTGATACAGATTTTGGTACACTGGTAAACTAAGTGTGCATTACACTGCCCAATGTCACAGAATCACAGAATATTAGCAGTTGGAAGGGACCTTGAAAGATCATCCAGTCCAACCCCCCTGCCAGAGCAGGATCGCCTAGACTAGGTCACACAGGAAGGCGTCCAGGCGGGTTTTGAATGTCTCCAGAGAAGGAGACTCCACAACCTCTCTGGGCAGCCTGGTCCAGTGCTCTGTCACCCTCACAGTAAAAAAGTTTTTCCTCATATTCAGATTGAACCTCCTACGCTCCAGCTTGCTCCCATTGCCCCTTGTCCTGTCATTGGCTGTCACTGAGAAGAGCCTGGCTCCTTCCTCCTGACACTCACCCTTTACAAATTTATAAACATTAATGATGTCACCCCTCAGTCTCCTCTTCTCCAAGCTAAGGAGCCCCAGCTCCCTCAGCCACTCCTCATAAGGGAGATGCTCCACTCAATCATCTTTGTGACTCTGCACTGGAGTCTTTCAAGCAATACCCTGTCCTTCTTGAACTGAGGGGCCCAGAACTGGACACAGTATTCCAGATGTGGTCTCACCAGGGCAGAGTAGAGGGGAAGGAGAACCTCTCTCGACCTACTCACCACTCCCCTTCTGATACACCCTATGATGTCATTGGCCTTCTTGGCTGCAAGGGCACATTGCTGGCTCATGGTCATCCTGCTGTCCACCAACACTCCCAGGTCCTTTTCTGCCTGGCAGCTTTCCAGTCACTCGTCCCCAGGCCTGTAGCGCTGCATGGGGTTATTGTGACCAAAGTGCAGGACCCAGCACTTGGCCTTGTTGAAGCTCATACAGTTGGCCTCAGCCCATTGATTCAGCCTGTCCAGGTCCCTCTGCAGAGCCTTTCTACCCTCAGGCAGATCAACAGTCCCTCCCAACTTAGTGTCATCTGCAAACTTGCTGAGGGAGCACTCAATCCCCTCATCCAGATCATTGATAAAGATGTTAAACAGGACTGGCCCCAAAACAGAGCCCTGGGGAACACCGCTTGTGACTGGTCGCCAGCTGGATTTAGCTCCATTCACCACATTGCTATCACAGCAGCAACGTTTGATGCTCCAGGACAGACTCCTGGGTAGGGAGTTTGTCAGCCTTATAACAACATGCTTTTAATGTACAATCTGCAGCATAGTGCTGAAATGGCTCAAGTCTCTTACGCAACTGACCTAAGGACCTAATTCTTCACGTGTAGTTATGCTTTGTCCACACCAGAGAGCAGTACCTTCACTTTGCTAGAAGTAAAGAAACTCATTTTGAGGAAGTGTGAAGAGTTTTATGACATAAGAACACCCACACTGATACACACCCACTAGAACACCCACAGTTGGAAGACCAAGTGTTTTGCCAAGGTTTATCTATGATAAGACTTGTATGGGTGCTGTTTGACAGAATAACCATCACATGCCTAAGCAAAATTAGACAGGTATCTTAGCTGACTGGCAGCTCAGATTTGTTCTTGTTTTTTTAAAAAAAAGCTGGCCAAAATTTTCCAGCAAGAAAACCTTTGTTTTAAAATAAAAGGATGACAGAGTTAATGGAAGTATTTTTCAGAATTTTACTGCAAACCAATGGGTTTGGTCACAAAAAATATGATACATATAACCACGTTAATTATATTACATTACAATGATGGTATACATTACAAGTAAGTCTGTAAGTTTAAATATACATCTACAGTTACAATTGAATGTACAGATTTTTTTTACAATACATACAATCAGGAATGAAAACCCCCAAATCCCAAAACCATAAATAATGCCCATTTTACAGATGACATTTTTAAACTAAAAAAAAAGGAAAAAAAAGGGGGAAAAAAAGAAAAAAAAGCAGGGAGGGGAAGACAAAAAAAAGAAACCAACAGCTTTGACCGACTGCAGCTGGGGCATTTTGGTCCATAAAAACCCTTTCTAAAAATAGAAATCTTTTTTCATAGCAGCAATGCTTTCTTCAAGCATTTGGATACAAGTAATTGTGAGCCTATTTCAATAATTTTAGTTGACTGTATAGATTTACAAAAGAAATTTCAAAATTACATTTAATTTATCTTCCAAATATGGAAGAAACAAACAATGCCCCACATTGTGGTATCCTGCAAGTGTCACACTGATGCTTTAAACTAAGTCCATCTGTAGTATGCAGACCACACGCACACCATTTGTTCACATAGTAAACCCACATAAATGAACTGAGAAACACACTCTGCAACAGGGAAAGCTTTGGAGCTCACAAGATCTCATCAGAAAAAGGCACATTTCATAAAATCCTTATCACGTTCAGATAGATCTTCAGGCAAGGCTTTTCGGAGCACGATTTCAAAACAGCTTGTTCTTACTCCTACGATCTGCTGTAGCAGTCTATGGCAGCAGTCACGCTTGTTTGTCTTTCCCAAGGAGACAGCACCACTTTGGGGGAAGAACGAATAGAAATGAAAAGCCTGTAAAGCTCATTTAGAGAGTGATGTGTGCTCTTCAAAAAAGCTTCCAGCAAACAGTGTAGTTGAAATTAAGGCTGCAAAGCTGCCGTGGTGGAAATGTGCAAATTCTCTTTCAAGACGACTGGTCAACTGGCAGTTCCACCAGAAGGCCAAATAAAAATAAAAATAATAGTTGTTGTTATTATTTAAAAAGAAAGAAAAAAGAAAGAAAAATGTTCACAAGAAAGAGTCCACAGGTGGGGCATATGAGAAGCCCAAAAAAGCCTCAGCAGCTTCTTTGACGCTGGCAGTGATGAGGATGCTGTCTGGTGACTGGCCAATGGAGTTGGGGACTGGCTCATCTGTAAACTCCGGATCGAAGTGTCGCAGGTCATTTGGGCCGCTCTGTGGAAAGGGTAGAAAAGGAAAGATGCAACATTTAGAACCAAATGTGTTGAGAGCACACCGTTCAATTCAAAATGGGGACAAGCACCCTTGTGGAGACTCACAGTGTTATCACCTTGGGCCCACTGTTTAACAGCCTTTGCCAGTTTTAGTTTGACTTTTTTTGTATCCTGTTGCATATTGTCTCACTAAAAACAAGATGATTCAATTTAATATGCTACCCTCCAACTACACTCAAGCAACAGAAGCCAAACAAACACACCACTCTGCCATGCAGCAGTTCGCAGGGTATGACTTTGATCTCTCAGGAAGTTATTAGTTTACAAAATGCACAGAAAGAGAAAAACCTCCACAACCAGATCCCTGTTTAGATGTTAGTATCTGACAAGCCAAATGTAACTCTGCCCTCAGGAAGCCTCTTGCTCTCTAGACCTTACCTGGCCCTTCGGTAAGTTGAGGATGCTGGGGATTGTATCAAAATAGCCACACAAATGAAGCATTTGTGAGAGGCTAAAAACCCCAACTAAATTTAGATTGTCCATCAGCAAAAAGCCAGCTACTGCTTATTTTTAACCTTGCCTGAACAGGCACAAGGGAAGGAAAAGCTGTGTTGCCTAAACACAGCCATCCGTCCAGTTCCCCCAGCTCCTGGGCACCCCACAAAGGCAAGGGGGGAAAAGACACTCTCCATACATTCTATAATTAGAAGTGATACGTACCACATTTGGGTTAAAAGGAGGTGTAATCTTCTTATTAATGAGATCATCCCAGTTAATTGGGGAGAAGAAGATGTGATTCTTAATCTCCATCTGTTACAGAGAGAAAAATAGATTAATTCAGACCCAAGGTAATAATGTAAGTAGTATGGCCTAGTCATTCTCCAGTGCTGCCTACAGGCACTGTTTGCACTTACAAAGTCCTCCTTGGCACCAAGCCTCTTTGTTCTATCCTTCTGCAAGAGGCCTTCCAGGAGATGTCTGGCCGAGTTGGTAATATTTGGCTTCAGCTGCAGGGGTTTGTTCAAGATGTTGTCATACATTTCTGCCGTGTTCCTGCTGTAGAAGGGCGGCTGTGGGAACGGGAAAGGAGGCAGCCAAGTTAGTGAGGCTGATAGGCAGGCACTGGGTTTCTTCCAGGGAAAAGGACAAGTAAACTAGTTTGCTCTGACATGGAGGATTCATTGCTTACCAGGCCATAAAGCATCTCATACAGGACTGCTCCAAGGCACCACCAGTCCACAGTCCGGTCATAGGGCTGCTTATGAAGAACTTCAGGAGCAAGATACTGTGTAAAAGAAGGAAGAGAGCTGTGTTAGCCAAAGGGATCTTTATAATTAGAAAAGCCTCCCCATTCTTGAATGAAAGTGGCTTACTGAATGCCAGCAATATCTAAGCTACCGGAAAGCTACAAACTCTTTATGAACAGGGAGATGGCTCAAGAGCTGTTCTCTCCTGCCCAGCAAGCTCTGCATGTCCTACACGTTCTCACTGGCAGCCTGGTATAACAAGTCCCGTAACACCCCCTGCCTGTCTAACCAGCCATAAATATACACAGGAGATGTCAGTTTTCACTGACGAGGACAGCAGTGGTGGGCTGAGGGCTGGCCATACCTCTGGTGTGCCACAGAAAGTGGAGGTTGTGCCATTGTGCTCTATGTTTTCTTTGCAGAGTCCAAAGTCAGTCAAGACAATGTGCCCCTGCGAATCGAGCAGGATATTCTCTGGCTTCAAGTCGCTGTAAGAGGAGATGAGAGAAGATCAATGTTTGTTAGAGGAGACACAGTGACAAAAGTCACAAAAAATACTAAAAGCAATTCTGAGCTCAAATCAAGATCAACTTTCAGTGTTTATTCTACAAAGCACATGTGTTTTTTCAGTCTCACAAATGGAACAAAATTGCTTACCGATAAACAATGTTCAGGGAGTGCAGGTAGCCCAGCGCACTGGCAATTTCAGCAGCATAAAATCGGGCTCTGGGCTCCAGGAAGCAACGCTCCCTCTGGAGATGGTAGAACAACTGCAGGAGACAGAGAGAACAAAGTTGTGTAAGTGGCGCCAAAGCCTGTTAACAATGCACTAAATTAGACTCAACATATATAGTGAGGGAGAACAATAGCAGGAAATGGCCTAAAGATCCTGTGGTAGTTCAAAACTTGGCAGGCTGCAAACATTCAATCTAGTTACTTTTCCCTCATGACTTTTCCCCTTGCAACTCTGTTTTATTTAAAAGGAAGGATGAAAAAGTCTACCTGACCACATGATAGGAAATACTATTTCATTTTCTTACTGCTTACCTCTCCACCATTGATGTAGTCTAGGACAAAATACAATTTGTCTGCCGTTTGGAAGGAAAAGTGAAGCCCGACCAGGAAGGGATGTTTCACATTTTTCAGCAGGAACATAATGTGCTTCTCCTGAAAACATGAGAAATCATCAATGTTTAGTACACTTGCTTAGCAGTAAAAATTATTTGATGGACATTGCAATGGCATCATGAAGCAGCAGCTCACCTCCTTCTTCTTCAGGATTGCTTTCTTCTGCAGGACTTTAACAGCATAGAACTGCTCTTCTGCCTTATGCCGTGCAAGGAGAACCTGAAAGAGGATAAAATCCCAGAAGTGAGCAATACTGAAATACAGAACAACTTGTAAACACAACTGGAAATAATCCTTTATGTTAACTGTTCAGCACTGCTATGTCCCTCTGGTTCAACGTGCAAGCCCATGGCTGGAAATGCCCAATGCTATTACCACTCTGGTAGACAAATTTAGCAAAAAGTTTTTACATCTAGTTCCCTTCCTCTCCAAAACCAAAGTATGTAATCTTCCCAGCACCAGTGTACTGCACTCCCTGACTCTTTCATGACTCTTAAATGCAACATCCTGCTCCTCTCCCTGCAGCTACACACTGAGACAGGCACTGGGCAGTACAACACCCTCCGGTCTGGTTTAAACGACCATCATTTACCAAAGCCAGTACAAACCCAACCCTCAGGCATTACACACAAGAGCTGAAAAGTAAATACATTACAGCAAAGAGGAGTTGGACTTACCTTCCCAAAACTGCCTTTTCCAATGACTTTTAAAAAATGAAAGTCTGATGGTTTGGCATGTGGGTTGGATGATGGACCAAGATTGATCTGCTGTGAAGGACTGGGCTAGAAAAATAAACAGACAGAAACTACATTTAATAAAACACCTTGATAGTGAATCTTAACAATGTCTCTTCTTTAAAAATATAAACAAAGTGACCTTGAAAGTGAAGATGAGCACTCTTATCACTAAAATTTAATGTTGACCACTGCCAGTTAGTTATCTTAAACTATTAGGTACTGTCTAATAAGCATATAACACCCATAGTTTACTTAAAAGTTCTTGTTGAAGTCTTAGCCAGATTCTGTAATGAAATAATAACTAATCAAGCTAATTTTTATTTTTTTTCTCCCTATCAGGAAAAAAGTTTAAATCAAATTAGATTATTCTTTTTCCCAGTTACATCACTGTGCTATGAGCTGAACTGAAGTAACATGATGCCAATTTTGCTACACTTCTATTACTGGCTGATTCCATGGTCTAAAAATGCTTCACTGAGTAAAATCTACTTACCGGAGGAGAAGGATTAGCATTCATAAGTTCAGGCTCTTGAGGCTGGGAGATTTTCAAGATAGACTGAACTTCAGGGCTGCAAGGGTAAGAGCACACGTGATTAGGAGAGTTACCAGAAGCATCAGGCATCTTCCCACCAGAGGGCATGCATGTATCATGAATGAGTTTTGGTTTGGGCTATTACAGAAGGCAACTGAAACAATCTTTTGGACTTAAGGAGTAAGATCAATCTACAAAAAGTAAATTCTGTCATACACAGAAATGTATTTCTACTGCAAGTACACTTTAAAATAAGGACGGGGCTCTAGAAATCCCATCCAACTGCTTTCTTCCAAACCCATCTCAGGAAGATTGGTTGCCAAGTGAGTAATATCTCAAGAAGAACAATTAACTCTTCTGTAACAGTCATGCCAGAGGCATTACAGTAAACAAACTTTATTCTTAACTAGATCTCGCAATACGCAATGATATTTGTGACTCAAATCCAGTCAAAATTTCTGATACTTACTGCTTGCATGCATAGGAGTTGGTGGCTATCTTCTGAATGAAGTCGTTTAGCCCCATTCTTCTCTGCTTCATGAAAGCTATGAAGTTAAAAGACAGAGAAAGGATAAATAAATCACTAAGCCATCCTGCAAGAAAAATCGCAGCTTTTCAAACATCCTCGGAGTAGCCCCCCGCCGCTCACCGATTAGGATGGCCACCATTCCCCTCATCTTCGAGTAAGTCAAGGTAGGACCCGACGCCTCAGCTGCTTTCACGGTCATTTTGGAGCGAGAGGGGGACAAATAACAACGGTACGATACTACCAACTCCCAGCACCGCACTGCCTCGGCGAGGTACCCGAAAGCGCTTAAGTGGCGACGGTGATGGGCGGGACCGGGGCGGGGCGGCGACGTTCGCCCTCCCTCTCCCCCCACGACGACGGGGGGAGGGGAGGGAGAGCGTTCTCTCTCTACCTTGGGGGCAGCCCCCGAGGGAGCCCCCCACAGCATCCCCACCGTGGAGAGCATCCACAAGCGAATACATCTAATACCCTTTTGTTTTCTTTTCTTTTGCACAGCAAACGCCCGCAGCCCCGTCTCTCTCTGCCCCCCCCTTTTTTTTTTCCGGTTATATAAAGTTAAAATCTGGTTCTATCTTGGACAAGCATCTCTTCCTAAAGCGTGTCTCCCCCCACTATCCCACAGCCCGCGTCTGTCCCCGGGCCCCGCCGCCGCCCCGGGTGAACTGCGATAAGGGAGGCTGACGTTTCCTTGCAGGAGCCGCAGTGACTCAGGAGAACAAGATTTCCTGCCCGGTTTTCAATAAAACAAACAAATGTCCCTTCTGTGCACTGCCCTTATCCAGGCTGGGATATTACTGAAAGGGAAAAAGGAAAAATAAAAAACCACTCAACGTCTTTTTTAATGCCAAAAAGGGAAACGAGAAAAAAAAATCCCAGTTCCCTGAAACTGAAGGAGAGCTCATAGAGCGCTTCTAGAAAAGGTGGGGGATGCCGGGGGCTGGGATAGGACAAAAAGAGAAAAAAAACCCCCAGCACACACACAAAAAAAATAAACCAGCCTCGCTCCGCAGCTTCTGTTTCCACTGTACGCAGTCATTTGGGACACCGCGTACCCGGGACTTCACTGCTCAGCCGCTTCCTTGCGTGTGCACCGGAAGCGCATCAGGAGATGCTATCGGTGACCCCCGCCCCGGGGGCGCAGACAGGCACGGTGAAGGGTATCATAGCCTCCTCTTCATC